AGGTATTTCGCCGCCGCTGATATTGCTGTCTAAAACCGACAGTTGCCGGTTGCCCGGTGAATGTAGGTACTCAATAAACTTAATTAATTCATTAAATCGTCTTTTATCGTTAAATTATATGTTGCTCCTCGAAAAAAAGCAGATTATATACATCAAGAAGAGATCGTGATTATAAGTACTAATTGAGCAGAAAGAGAATTATCTCCTTACAACTTTTTATCTAATTCAATTAATTTTAATGTTGACGTACTTTGATTTGTGGGACGCAGTTCCTCGAATTTGTGACATCAAGACTGCAGGGACGATGATAGATAGCGAACCAAATACAGGAAACTGTTCGAGTCGGCAGAATGGCTCGGGGCAGCCTGTACAGGAAGTATCTAATCGATCCGCGCAACAATACAGTCATTTTTAACGATCTCTAATTTCATCGATCATCCATCATAGAAACATCATACGATCCTTTCCCAAACATATCCGACGTCCAGGTCGGGGCGAACCCTTCGTGCGAATCGAGCGTGGTCGGCGGAATCGCGGATTGATCGACACAGGAGGAAGTGCCGCTTCGGCTTTAAGCCGCAGGAATCTAGAACGGGAAAACATCCCGCATCATTCGACGCGCACGTCCGCAATCGACGTGATACGCGGTGGGTATTAGCGCCTATTAATGATTAATTGATCGATGCCAGGAGGCTCCGTTGCACGTGTGTGTGTGTGTGTGTGTGTGTATGTGTGTGAGACGGTGCTACACGCCAAGTTCCAGCCGGCGAGAACGGAGGGTCGACCCGGGTCAGATCATGCTTTGCGCCGAATCGTTAGAAAGTCCGCGCTCCGGGTCTTGCCGCGCCGCGCCGCGCCGCGCCGCCGTGCCGCTGCGTAGCACGCTTCAGGTTAAGAAGAGATATCCATCCATCGGCTCGATGACTCGTCCCGATATTGCAAAGTGCAGCCTGCTTCGTGCACTCGCGCGCTGTTAGAAAAGAATTCGCCGTAGCCCAGGACAGAAAACTCTTGCGCAATACCTCAGATCTCAGAAGGATCTTACCGATATAGCTTCAAAGACGAGCGCAAGTACGAGCGTGACTCCAAATGACGCGATTCTAAATTTTCCTCCTGTCAATAAGCGGCTCGCGGCGGTATCGCGATTTATCATGATTTATCGGACACAATTTACGTCCGTGACGAGAGAAACGTGATAATTCTTAAACGGTACTGAAAAAAATATACGATTTCGCGAACGGTTAACGACTAGTCAACGAAGTTTCATAGGACTCAAGAACGAGTTGCCGATCGAGGATAAATAGAAAAGGCAAATGTGTCGTTCAAAAGTGTCCTCGGTCAATTCCCATCATCGGTCGAAATTGATCCGAAACACTCGGAGAGCGTAATGCGGATGTTGGTTCCGGTCGATGAAACGCGAGTGACGAACGGGCGCGATGGAGAAACTCGTGAGGACAAGCACGCGTGGGACGCGAGGACGCAGCATCCTTGTGCGCGCCGCATCACGGAAGACGTAGACCACATTCATGACTTTTTAACGATCAGCAGCGCGGAGCGATCCTATACGTTAGCTCTGGCGCGCGCTTATATTGTATGTGCGGCGGTTGCTTTAACCCTCTCATCCTGAATCCTTGAAGCCTACTACGGACCGTTTTTGTATTCCCCGTTACCACAACTTACGTACACATCACCTTCTCGCAATCGACGACTCGTAATTCTAAACGGGTACAATTACTTTCATTCTACACGTTTGCGTAATGCACGATACTCTATGTGTCATCGAAAGCTTCACCGAGATTCCGACAACAATGTTGAGAAATGGAAAGACTAATATATAGAGTTTCCAATCTAACTAAATAAAAAAATCCAAATAAGTATTGGTTGACGCAAACAAATAAACAGTTATAAAAATGCCTTTCAAATGAGTTTACAAGTTTATGACTTTTATAATGAGGATAATACATTAGACCGATTAATAAGGTAAAAACTGCTTGCGCTATTAGTGGCGTTATAATTGCCCAGGCAAGTCCAACTGTATTTATATGTCTAACTGTGTTCATTATAATTATTACCAGAGAATAGGTCAATCGCTTCCAACTTCCCTCATTGTAAAAATAAATAATTAAAATACTAAGTAAATCAACTGAGTAAAGGCTTGCAGCAATTACTTTCGTTTTTCCGAGATAGTTTCGCACTGTTGACTCGAACAAAAGTGAATGCAGTAATATCGCAGGCATGGATAAAGATCGCTGCCATAATTCTAGCTGATCTATGAAAGGATCACTCGTGCCGTTGATCAGTTCGCAGGAATCCCTCGCGCGATTAGAATCTCGCCGTAACTCTTAAGAGAATTCATCTGCGTCGCGGTGCCATATTTGCCGAGCCGAGCATCGAGCTCGAGAGCTGCCCGAGTAGTCGAATTTAGCGCGGTAACTCGATGGATGAATCGAACGGCGCGTGCACGAGATGTTTCACGATGTAAATGACGACCGTCGTGTGCGGGATCGTCATGTGCGGAGAATATTACGCCTCCACTTTATAAATCTTAAGCGATTTGTTTAGGTTTCACTTTTATACGTTTTAATGATTCGATATTGCGTATTCGCGTGATCATTATAGTCGCATTCATCGACGAACCGCGAAGAGGAGATCAGAGATCTGTTCGTGTCTGCGCGTTAAATCGCACATTAATAATCGAACAAACGTATAAATTGCTGCATTAATTATCGCTACCTTTACACGATATTATTCTACAATAAGAAAAATCGATTATAACGCACGGTATGATTCTACGTTACAAGGCAAACGTTTTTACATATCATTCGTACCGAATTCGCGAAAGTCACTTGTAAAGTCATTATCAGAGATTATTCCGCGTACGTGTGCACTACAACGAGCGAGGAACGGCCGGCACCAGGGTTCCTTTCGAACGTTGATTCTCGAGAAGTGTAGCGGGGTCCCTGGAGGCATGTCAGTTTCGATTATCCTCGGCTATCGTTAGGCCCCGTTCAGCGCGTGCTCGCTCGCGCGAACGCAGTCGCGGTCCTCGAAACGTCAGACTGTCGGGGCCGTAAATTTTTTCGCGGGCGCCCACCTCTCGTCATGCATATTCATGAATACTCGAATGTAATCGAACGCCGCGCGAGCCGGCGTAGAAGGAGACGGCGGGGTCCTCGAGCGCTTCGATCAGCCGTCGACTCGATTCAAGAATGACGAGGGCCAACCACGAGAGCGTATACAGATAAGAGCGGCTCAAGGACCCCGCTGCTGCTCCTCCTTGGCGAACCACGTCGTGGAATACCGAGGGACGGCCGTGCACTTTATGCGAATCCCGAGACGACGCGCACGACACCGATTCTTATCTCGCGCGCCGCACGGCAAAAAATGCGACACAAACCGCGACGCGGTGATGGCGTTCCCGAAACGACTTACGGTATCGTGACGCGATCGAATTTGGTTTCAGGACAACTTCGATGCCGATACCGGCGGACACCGGCGGGTCTCCTCGTTAAGGTAAGTATATCGATGTCTGCGCGCGGTCATCAAGCCGACCGATGTAAAAACTTATGGAAAGCCCGTTATCGACGCTACATCCATCTTAATTATCGCGAGATACTCATTAGGGTTTACAAGAGAGCCGGCGAGTTCTTCATTTTTCATTGCAAAATAACTTCCCAAAGTGAAGTGAGAGAAAATTGCGACTCGTGACACGGATGAGGGACTTTTCTACCGCGGTGGAGTCATGGTTCTTGCTCTCTGTCAGGTGTGAGTGAACGATGTGACAGTCGGAGGAATAACTTCTGTCACGAAGCCGGTGAGGAGTGGCGCGGCGTTCGAGAGCTCCGCTCCGTGACACCGCCGATCCGCGAAGTGGAAGATCGTATCGTGTATATACGCGCGAGATAAGCGTGTCGGGTTATCTGTAATTAATCAATTTGCGTCTACCAGGCGGCAGCCCGGTAATTACGGCTCTGCGTTTTATCGCGAATTATGAAACCATTCATCGCGCGGTTCCGCGATCCGAGCGCGAGGCGAGGACGGCGGGGGCCACCCGTGGAAAGTAGACCGCGCCCCAGTTCTACGGACGAAAGGTCGTTACTGCCGAGCAAAATGCCGCGCTTCTAAACGGAGGGAAACGAGGGGAAGCGCTTACACGCCGAATGGGGGACAGATGAGTGGATAATTTCAGTGGACACTCGAAAACCCCGACGACCACGCCCGCGACTTCGTGGAGAGATGGCGAATGTTAAGTGGTTCGTAAAAACTATCATTGCGAGATCATGTTTTCGCGAGCATATTTCGCCTCGGGGCGATAAAGAAAGAAAGACGAGAACGAGGAGGGAGAAAGAGAGGAAGGAAGGGAGAAGAAAGTATAGATACTATACAAACTAGAGAGGGGTGGAGGATCTACGCTAGCTTCGAGGGGTCATTATAGAACTTTCCTAGCTGGCGCGCCGTCTCTCCCTACTCGCTAATGCCAGACTGTCCGGATTGACTGATGCCAGGTCATTCAAAGCCTTCTAGATCGCCTCGTTGCCTCACTAACGTAGAAGTCGGGAAGATATTGCGCGATAGATGACAGCATGCACCATTACAGAGTTGGCTTTCAAAAGCTATTAAAAATAGTGGCTACGTCCAACGCGATTCGTGCAACAATCCAACCGAATCGAGACATCCATCACGGTTTTTTTTTTCTTTAGTTCAATGAGTACGCGGATTATCGTATATGGTCACTGTTAAAGAGATTTGTATAGCTCTTTTCATTTTCCTAAACCAGAATTGTATTAGAACAGGAACGTGTTTCGAACAAGATCATCGCAAAGAAATTTATAGAGAAAAACATTAGTCTCCAATGACAATCGTTGTGCAAGCTTGCGCCTTAATAACGGCATTAGAATTCACTCGACGCGCTCGATCGAGTGCACGAACAATGACGCAAGTGCATCGCCCACAATTTTTCCTCGTGGAGAATCGCGGTAAGAAAAATCTCGTTGACTCACCTGTGCGTACTCGGCGCAGATGTCGATTGACGAAACGTAATTGACGACATCCTCGACGGTCCAGCGATTTACGGCTTGCCCGTCGCCGCAAGGTATGTGGCCATAGAGAGTCGGACACCTGACCGGCGGAGGTGTGGTTGGTCTCGCGGTAGGTTTCGGCTTGGGCGACACGCTTTCGGATCTCCGTGTTTCCGGCCTTTGCCGCTTGCGTGGTGCGAAGCCACCGGGACTCGAAAGGTCCAAGGGACTCGTTACCCCCGCGTCTCTTTTGTTCGCGCCTACGTTTCACAAAAAAATAAAACCTAAACTAGTTGTTGCCTAATCTTTCTCAAAATCAATTAAGGACACGCCACATAAGCACATATATTATATACCGATATTTTATATTTACAAAATATCTTAGAAGGCGTTTTTTTATCTATATGAATTCTTTAATTATTCAGAATTAATTTGCTTTTAAATATTAAATAATTAAAAATTGAAGAAATCACATAAAAAGTACAAAGTCTACAATTTGCAATTAAAAGATAATTTAAAAGACTTTAATTTCTTTTTTCAAACATTGAAAATTTAATAATAATAATTTGTATCATTTTTTGTCCATTTAGAAATGTAATGTATTTCCTGTGATACTTGCCTTTGAGATATGTTTCCAATTCTGCAGCGCTTTGGGCCGCATTGGCAGTTCGCACCATGTGCAAAAGAGCTTGGGTGGACGACATATCGATCATAGGCGGGAACACAGGACTGCTGAAGAGGCTGTCCTGCTTGTGTTCTTTCGGATCTTTGTTGGAGAGCGGTGAGGTCGTCGGGACAGTCGATGGTTGCGGAGCCCCTAACGGCGCCATCAGACCAACGAACGGCGTCGCTGCGGCCTTGAAGGCCGGAAACCTCGGGTCTAAACCCGGAGGGTAACCGTTTCTTGGCGTGCTAAAGTAACTGAAATGATCAATCGTCCTTGATCATTGACTTCTAATTATGAATGTAAAGAAAATGTTCAGTAAAGTACATGCATACTGCAGCTATTATCACTATCGCACGTAGACATTTCAAACTTGAGAATATTTTTTCTATCTTTCATATCAAATATAAAAAAATGCTACTCTAGTAATAAAAATGCATATGCGAAACAGCAAATCATGATTTTAAATTTCTTGAAACGACTCGATGTCAATTGAGAAGATAGCTAAATTGATCTTCTATTTTAAGATTCAACGGATTATCAAGATGTCGATTAAATGTAACAGGGTGCAAATAGACATGCGGTGAATTAAAAAGTCGAACTGTCTTCTTCATATATCGAGGATCGCATTGCCAAGAGATCTGTGCGCTCAGCACTTAACTGAGCAATTAAATAGTCATCTGATCTGTTTTCAACCATGTGCCAGAAGGTACAAAGTTAAAAGTCAACGCACGACGCGACAACCGGTTTCACGCGAGAGTACGTTAAGTCCTTCGAGTACTCTCTCCGCGTTTTACGAATCTTAATCACACGAATCATCTATTTGCAGCCTTCAAGTCTTAATTCTTTTACAACGTCTCGCGGCGCTCGTCGATCGACGAAAGTCAATATACTCGCATGTCACGTCCCGACGAAAAATACTCGAAGACATTTGCAAAATCTTTCCTTAATCATACAAGACATTAAGACAAATTTCATGACACGGGATCGATACGACAGTAATGAATGAGCAGTATCTGCACGTCAATTTTTAATTGGCACGTCAATGTACGATTTATTTAAAAAGAAAATCAAAAGTGATGTTAATGCTGTAACGTGCGTTTCTCCGTTATGTTAACCCCGCGGCCCATTTACGCGGGGATTATAACTTTGCCGCGTGTAATCGGAAGTGATCGACAAAATGGGGATGGACGTACTCGTTAGGGTTGGCGTTGTTGTACTTGGCGGCGAGACTCCTCATGAAATCACTATAGTTTCGCCCCATCATCTGTTCCATGTGCTTAAGATGATGGGGTGCCGGTGGACCCTCGGGTCCCCCCAAAGGCGTAGCATTTGGCGGCGTCCCCGGGTGACTCGACGAAGAAGGCGTCACGCTCCTCGACGACGTCGAGTTGTTGTCAGGCGTGAGTCGTTCCGTTTTAACCTGTAACGTGATAGGATTGCCCTTCTTTAAGCAAGACCTCACCGCGCGCAACCGGATGCAGTAATAAGGAGGAGAATGCGGAGCGATTAACCGGCAGTAAAAAGAACGAGGATAAACGGAGGTATTAATTACGGGAGTGGTGCGATAAAAGTACGTTTAACATTATTTCATTTAACGCTAGAAAGGATAAATTAATATAATACTTTCATATGCAAGCTTTTTTCTATTAAGTGCACTCACTTTAAAAATTAGATCGGTATTATTTTATTATTATTAAAAATATGTCAAAAAATATTTTATTATCTTTTATCATAAATAATCCCGCTCCATCAATTTTCATTAATTTTCTGTTCAAATTAAATTCTATTAAATTTTGGAACAATTGTTTTGTTCACATATATACGTAGACGACAAGCAGAATTAATATTTGAAACTGTGTTAAGTGTCCTCGCGTAAAGTTGTCATCGGTACGTTTGCGAATTACTCATTTCATCTTATCCACGGTAACAATAATTTTACTATCTTTATTACCGCCGTGCTTCATGTTTGAATGTTGAAGGCCGCAGCACAGAAACAATGTATCTTAAAAAAAAAAAGAAACGCCTCAGCCTCTTCTCAACATCATTTTTCGTAAAAATATTGCTTTACATGTTTGAAAAGGAGCATTTAGACGTAATAATTGATCAATCAAAAAATGGCACAAGTGACTTTTCCATATTAATTACACACGCAGCAAATGTTAATTTCAAATAATTAAAAATAATAGAAGCAACGCGACACTGAATAATGAGGCACTGAGACGAGACAGATCATTGTTATTGTAATAATTATTATTGTTAGTTACAATGAGACATCATGTCTATTGTATTTTTTTTATCTATTGTATTACGCTCGATTTACTGTGCTCAGAGCGACTATTTAGCACTAATAAACGAGCTTCATTTGCATACGCAAAAAATTGTTCCAACCTCCGCGGGACAGATATCAACGATGGACCACGCCTTCGACTGTGAAGGACGCTTATCGACAACTAGTGGCGCACGATAAGTCTCGCACGGGCGAGATTCGTGGTGGCAGGAAATATCCCGGCTGCATTAATTCCCGGGAACAGATTGCATCTGAGATATGGTAATGAAGGCAACGCGTGGCGTAAGAGTTGACTCCTCTTCGCTCGGCGCGGCGCGGCGCGGCGGCGAGAGAGCGCGCCGTGACACCAAGAAGAACGAGAGTCGATTGGCGTAGAATAGGGTTCCCGAGAGCGCAGTCCGGAGACCGCGGCAGAGGCCACGGTAAATCTCTTTCTCGCCTCCAGACCTCTTCCTGACAAGGGACCGCTTCAGGCTCACGGCGCGGGCACGATCCCGTATATATACACCTACATTTCGAATGGGTCTCGCTCGGCGCGACCGATACGCGCGACCAGGTTTCGATAGAGAAAATACACGAAGGCGTGACAGCTGCGCGAGCAAAAGAGCTACGAAATTAAAACCGATCGTTCCCTTTCGATGCAATTAATCTCCACTCGATGGCAGTGGCTGCATAAAACATACGTCGTAGAATAAGATTAAGCTATATAAGCCGTTACAAATAATTAACATACGGTTTCCGCATAAATATTTTGTAAGCTTCTAAAATGAAATCTTAACGTTCATTTCCTTCACAGTGTTATTAAAAAAAAAAGAGTATCTCTTAATAAAAAAAATTGAATTATATAAAATACATAATAACAGTTTTTCGTATTGTAAAAATGTTTCGAATATCCCTCCCTTCTCGATTTTTTTTCTGAATAATTCTAAGCGAGAAAGACTAATCTTCTTCTATTCTTAAATAAGAATTCATCGACTCTCTCAATTCGATTCCAGTGGATTACCAATGCCCGAAAGTTAATAAGTCAGGATAAAGCTCGCCGCACCGCACGGGGGATTAATTTCTCGAGTTGTTGTTACTATTCTTCGGAGACCTTCCTTGTTCGTACAGCCTGCGGACGTGAGATACGAGAAATTCTCGCGCGTCATGGACCGACTATTCTTTTTGCCGATGCTGATCAATTTTTTACCATCGCGGCTCTAAGCATTGCTAAGCAGCCATCAAAGATGTCTCTTTTTTTCTCTTTCTTTTTTCGGCCAAGCCGTTTACAGAAGCGTCCTGCGGGTCGACGGATGTCAACAGCAGGATGACACTGCGGCTTTCGACGCGGTTGACATAGTTGCTGCATGGTTAGCTTTGAACGGGACTCTCCGTGTACACGTGTACGGAGCTACCGCTCGAGCTACAGGAGCGATGGACTCTCTCGTCGAGGATATCTCTCCCGAGAGAGACTAGCGCACGTGTCCCGAAGTGGTACGCGAACGCTCAAACACTCCACTTCACGGAAGAAGCCAAGCCGGGTCTCTCTCGAAAAATTTGTACGACAAATCTCGCGTCCTCGCGGCAACTCGCGTCCTTCTCGACGAAAGGAAAAAAAAAAAAAAGAAAAGACTAAATAAAAATTCCGGACGACGTTCAGGCACGCTACGTCAATACAGTAAGACGAACATCGTGTTTGCCTACGTGCGTAGAAGTTTTGTGTACCGTGTCAAAATTTAATTCCGTCGTGGACTTTTTCGAAAGTGGGTAATCAGAGACGAAGGAGCAGGTACTTCGATTCGAAGTATAGATATTAGATGTATTAATTACACTGCAATTTTTTTAATATAAGAGAGCTTCGGCTTACTTGGGTAGTGTCGAGGCCATTCTGGTTCTGTCGCCTCCTACCCCGTGGAGGTCTGGGGGTTGCCGCACCGGACAGATGGGTGCCCTGAGGGCTTCCCCCCCTGGCGTCGACCGCTGTGTTTGCTGCCAGGGTGGCCCCGTCGTTGTTTTCCGTGTGCGTACCTAAATCCGCCGCCTCACCACGGTCGCCACCACGTGGTCCCGTGCCCGCGGACACGTTCTCGCCCGACACCTCACCTGGAAACGAAACACGAGGGGATATATATTAAATTTCGGTCCGTCTTTAAAGGGTATTAAGAGCGCGCAAATTTTCTGGTTCTCTAACATGTTTCTCATCCCGCTCGCGGTCTTATCAAGTTATACGCTAAAGATTAAGCCACATATTTCCAAGATATAAGACGCGGGTTGAAGCTATTAAAAGATTTCAAACGGATCAGAGCGACGACCCTGGCAGAAGACACTCAACTCCAAATTCGGACTTTTGACGAGAAGATAAATTCGCCGTATTTCAACCGCATTCGTCCCCTCCCTCCCATGGCTCGAGTTTCGTAACGACGCGGCGCGGCGGTCCTCGCGCTACGCGTCGTAAAGCTTCCTTAACGTCGCGCCGTGTAAACGGCGTCTTTCGACACTGGGAATTTAGAATGAAATACGTTAAGAGAAAGAGAGGGATAATCGTATAGGATGCGATTGCACACGGTGGCGGCGCTAGCCACTGGCACGGGAGATTTACGCTCAATAAATGGCCTCGTCCTGGCGCCATTATCTTTTGCCTTGATCAGAGACGAGGAGCGATCGAAAAGCGGCGTAAAGGCGCGGAGAGAACGAGGAGGACCGAACGCGACGGGAGAATCGAGGGGGTCACTGTCCACGATGACTACCTAACATATCCAATAAATTCTTGTCATCGTTAAACGCCTGGAATTTTATGGAGGCAGTAACTCGTCCGTACCGCCGAATTTACCGGCCGATACGATCGGCCGCGATTAATGCAACGACGGTGCCAGCAACGGTGTCAGCAACGGTGCCGGAAGAGATACGAGAACTTCGTGTTTCTTTGTAGGTTTTTTTTTCACGCGACATTTTGTGCGTCGGTATTCAACGTTGCAACAAATCTCCTTGTTGCGTACAATCTCTTGTACGCGATCATAATTTCAACGCGGCATTATCGTCAATCAACAATTGTTCCGTAACAAATATTTCTTAAATAATTAATAACTTTTATCGTCTTCCATAGTAAAGATATAAGAGGCTTTCAGTGATGACTTGTCAGATTTTTCCCGGATACTATCCACAATAACGAAGAACAAGTGTTAATCGTACCCACACACAAATGTCCCCGTAGTAAAACCAACGGCATCGGAAGTAAGCAAACGGACACTTGCGATCATTTTTATAATGCGCGGAGTTAGCACCTCCGACAGGCACCGCTCGGCTGCTATCGGGCTATATCCTACAATCCGGTTGTAGAAGCGGCTCCAGCGGCGTTGAGCGGAATACGGGCCCAGGGTAGCGATCGTAAAAGCCACTTCTATGACACTCACTGCCAAATGTCTTCATTATTTAGAGTTAAAATATTTACAGCTGCCCATAAAAATTCCATTAGGCACTGTTTGCTAGTAGGAAAACCATCGCCCCATCCGAGAGGTAAGGTGTTCAAAGATGCTTTCGACGCACCTCGCCATAAACGACGTCCAAATAGTTATAAAATTGGAAAGTATGTGGGCAACAAACATTGTACAGCATCGTTTCGTGACGAATTAGCAACTAACGAGAACGGTACAACGATACGTTCGACTAGAGGTTTCCGGAATATAACTTAATTAATTTTCAACGAATTTCCATGAATGTCGTCGAATCAATGATTTGTGGACTGCTAAAAATTTTATAGTATCCCATTAATTACACAGTATAAAGTGGAGGTAATGTATAAAATACACATCGATGAAAAGCATAATAATTACAGCTTAATAAAGTTGTTGAAATTATAACGTGCTGTGAAACATGAATTTCGAATTCCTTGAATATAAATTTCTGTTTAATACGAATAAGGAGTCATCGTATTCTGAGTATTGTTTCAACATTTACCTCTTGATAAACGATTCTACAATCACCGCGTTCCGCGTAACAAGATTTTTTCCCCACATTTTCTCACGTTCTTTTTTTGGCGAATTTTATGTTGGCAGTAGCGCTTCGATGACACGTACGACAAACATCGTAATGACACTTCAGGAACTTCCAAGGCAGGGAGCCATTGTTTAAAGATCGTCCGCATTTTGTCGTCTAACTTCGACTTGACGACGTTTACACAGTCGTGCAAAAATGATGTGCAGCTGCACTTGCGGAATTAGTTAAGACTCGAACTGAGAGACAGAGGCAATGCCGCACAATTTTGTCAGAAGAAAATATAAATATATTATAAAACGATATAATAAGATTATTAATGCAATAAGCATTTTCTGCAAAAATCAGAATCAAGCCAAGTTTACTTAAATTCTCAAATGCGAGTTTAGAAGATAAATAAGAAACTATTTCGAAAAGGGTTCGAATTAATGTTTCTTTCATTTCTTTAGCGACAATATGTTTCTAAATTATCGCACCCCCGTATTTATCATCTAAAAATTTTACAGCTGAGTAGTTTGCAAATAAATGATGCGCCCTGAAAAGTTCGCAGAAAATTTTGTTGCACGCAAATGAGGGAGGTTAACAGCAGCGAAATACCTACGGTGAATACTGAGAACTGTGCAAGGTCCGAGTGTGAAATATCGTAACGACGTGTTAAAACGAACTAACGTGCAGCGCACGTATCTCCCGTGACACACCCGCCTCGTGAGGTCCGCGCTTCGAGGCTGCGTGTTTGCCGGTGCAACGAAAGTGCGAGGCCTGCACCGTGAGACCTCCACTTTGATGTCTCGCTGATAAAGTGATAGCGATTTGCAAGCTAAAAAATACCAGACAAAATTCAAAACTTCTCTTTGTTTTCATTCATCACGTCAGTTTTTTTAACCCAACGCAACGTACAATTAGCAGGAAATAGAAAGTATAAAATGCGCATGGAGAATGCGCGTGGGAAAGAAAACACGATGACAACTCGCGCTGCCTAGCCGCACAAAAACAGTAGCTTGCCTCTGTGATTTCATCCAATATATCGCGTATCTCGGGACACATGTGTAATTTACCGGTTTTAGCGAGAAGCTGCCTGGTTAACTATTTCGTTCCCGGGTGAGACAGGTTTCCGCGAGAAAGAAAGCCATCGGAAGACATCGAGATGGGACACCAGGAACTCATAGTAATCGCGTACAGCACAGTCATAAATTATCCGGCGCGACCGCGACTAAAACGAATTGACCTTCGAGGTCGCGTACGAAGTGCCGCCGCGCGACGGGAATAAAGCCGCGGCGGCGGGCCTCTCCGTCGGGTCGTTGTTAATTATTCCCGCGTTAAGACTTTAAGAAATTTCACCGCGAGCTGGGAATTTTTCCACGATCCCGCGGGCGAGATTAGAAGCGGACCGGGAAAGTTGCATAACACGCCGCGCGATATCGGGTTCGATTCAGCATCCATTTCCTGACACAGCGGAAAAACAACAATGGGATGCTTCCGCACCGACGTATTGTTTCGAGGAGTGACCTATCCAGATCCATCGGCGCGAGTTCTCATACACGTGAACACGTGCGAAATAACGCGCGTTCGATACGGAAAAGTTAAAATGCGAACGGAAAAACTAACTGGCGGTAATGTACTAAACTATCGATCGGTAAAATCTAAACGCACGTGAAATTGCTATATTGTATATCGACATATTATTGATCAAATATTGTAAAAATGACTGTTTGTGACGAGGAGAGCGTTGCGTTACACTCAATTACACGGATAATATCGCACAATCAGATTAAAGAATTTAGCACTGCATCCGTTACTCACGACGCTGCTCAACTTTCCCCTTCACGCTCTTTTCCTTTTATTACCGTAACAACGATAGATCAAGTCTCACGGCTTTTCGATCGGCCCCGCCGAATGCCGGATGCGGGCGCATACGCGTCGTTTCTTCCACTCGCACCCGGCCTCGGCAAGGCTGGCCGAGTGAGTTCACATTCACTTTGTCGGAGCGAAGCGAGCGGGTCTCCGCGTGTGCACATGCGTGAAGTGTACGCGCGTACGCACGTCGTACGGACCGCCATACGTCCGCATCCGGGGTCGGCCCGACGCTTAATGAACGATCAAACCCGGTTCTACGCGTCGCGCGGCGCGCAGCCCGTCATTACGAGCTACCGCAGCGAGGAATCTCGTCCTTTTTGTATTTACCTCTCCTTTTTCATACGCCCGACTTTTCTCCCGCGACCTCGCATAGTGAGCTGCTGAATGAAAGATGATTCTATTTTTCCGCCACGCGCGCAAATCATCTCCGGGATCCTGGCAATCTTGCTGAGTCAAGCGATTTCAATAGTGCCGCGAGAGCGATCTCATCTCGCTTGCGAAATAAAAAAAAGTGCTTTGATTTTTCATGTTTTTTCTGCCTCTAACAAAATACGTGCAAAGTAAATTAATAATATCCAATATTATCCAATTTTTACGAACATTTATGTTTTATGATAACAAAATGCAATAAAAATTATTTCAGAAAAAACGATTTTATCATTCTTCTGAAAAGCTTATGATACAAGTTTGTAACGTATGTGACATATTGCCCGTTACTGGAACCGTGTTGTAATTAATAATCACTGGTTTACCACAACAATTTATTGTCGTCTGGTTATTGCTTGTAGTAGTAGATAACGATAATTGTAATTGACTTCAACGGTCTTTAAAGATTGCAAGTGGTGGCTCAAACAGAGGCCAAAAGTACCAAAGCGAAGCACCGTTAACGCGATCACTATCGTATCTATTATTGCCCTTTTACTGGATCGTAACTTTTCTACATTCGCAGTTGTGACTAACTGGACCGGTTACATGATGCGATATCTTAAGTGTAGTAATTTCAAAGTAAATAGCTATTAATCAAAAACTTTAGGAGCGATCGCAAATATCTTTTTTTTTTCTCATATTATTCCAATAAAAAGTAGATAAAAAAAATGATATTGAATACATCATGCCCCCCCAAAAAAGAAATAATTTCCTAAAAATAAAATAATAAATTATCAAATTGATCTGATTGAGAAAATAAATTAGGTGAGTACCTTTAAAAAACTTTGAATAAAAGGGCTATTTTTGATTGTGTTGTGTGAGACGGTCCTCCACAATTAATTGCGTATACTGCGACACAAGGATAATACCCGCCGTCCATGACGACCTTTAAAGGCCGGACCGGCGCGGCGCGGCGCGCGCGAGAGACCAAGAGGCAGGAAGAGATTACTGTCGCGGCGTTAACACGATCAACGCCGTCAGCAACCACGCGGGTCGTTGCTGGATCTCCTCTCCGGCCGCTGTAAACCCGCCGTAAGTTATGCGCGACCGGGAGGGCCGTCTTGCGCGCCATTAAAGCGGGTTATGCCCATTTCAAGTGGAAAATCATAAGCACCGCAAATACGCCGTCATTACTGCAGACGCGCTACGAGCTCGCCACTTACTTTGTAATCATGACTAATGCATAATGTAGTAGCGACCGCGCCGCACACGCTTCTCGCTCCGTCTATGCACGCGACCCCGTGTGTGCTGTGCACGCGTGCGTAGTGCGTATACACCTACGCGTACACGCGTATACCGCGCACGCCGCCGTCGCCGCCGCGCGCGATCTCGTTGGCGGTTACGCGAGGGTGCCTCCGGATATCACATGATGAGCGATGGCACCTTCGTGGAAGGTACTCGAAGGGAAGAGACGTGCTCGCCGCGACGCTATCACGCGGAATTGGATCTTGCGGTGTGATATGTAACCAAGGACAGAGACGCAAGTCTCTTAGTTATACGTGACGCGCGTGAAATTCGAGACGCGTCGATCGTTCAACCGTTTGGCAATGCCCGACGACAATCGATATCGTTAATTCAAATGCCGAATTTTATTTCTATACGATGCACATACATATATGTACATATATATGTGTCTTAAGCACGGGGGAGAGAGAGAGATGCATACAAGGATCGTAAAAAATAGATTCTTCTACCGTAGGTGTGAGAGAACTTTTCCTCTCGTTCGTCGAGCCTGTCGATCGATAACGGCCGCGGCCGTTTCTAGTGAAACCGTCTTTGTCCCTTCGATGCGTAACCTTGGTCGTGCGGAGAATGGTCGAAACAGCTGTTTCAAGTGGGAGGCCTCTCGCGAAACACAATGGCGTTCACGTGAGGCGCAAGCGTTTATTAGCCGACGTGGCTCGGGGGCGAGCGGGAGAACGCCGTGGCGATTTATAACCAGCAACGTACATAAGTAGCAACGGCACCAGCAACGGCCGAGAGACCAGCAATAGGCGCTGGACTCGCCATGGCACGGCCCGAAGGTCGCGTGACGTCGATACGATTGCGTCTTATTAGGAGTCACACCGCGTGTTCGACTTTACGTAGGAACGCGTTGCCCGCGCGCCGACGCATTCCTGCAACTAATTAGCTCCCGTTGTATTTGTCGGGGGTTATTCGCTGACTGCAACGTCGGGAGAGAGAGAGAGAGAGAGAGAGGATCCATACGCCGCTTTTCAGACTCTTCTTCATCCTCTCCTACAGTCAGCTCTGTTTTCACGTGTACTACGCCAAGACGTGATTTATAGGTCCGCGTCCCTCTTAGCCTCTCGTCGTCCTACGCCTTCCTGTCATTTACTTCTTTCCTTTTGCTTCGCCCATGGAAAATTCTCTCGAAAAGTGATGAGTGTTAGATTTTCGCGGAATAATTTCCTGTTCTGTTAGCATGTGCTAAATTGTATGCGTGTTTCCTTTAATAACTTCCTGAGGGAGTCATCAGTATTTGCACATATGTATATACGTCATTTCTATTTGTCGGCGTGTGCAAACGCTTATTTCACAACCAGAAAATTTTCAATACGGATTTCCACAGAGAGTCACGTACGCGCACGTATTACGCTGCACCTTTTATCTTCTGTTTTTACGATCCGCCTATACGTCCCCTCTCCCCTCGTCCCCCTGGATGCTCGGTGCACGGTCTTTTATGGTCGCTCGCCAAGACATCGCGGCGATGGTGACACTGTACGTCCGTCAGGGTCGCGCACCTGCAAGCAGGTCAGGTTGCACGACACTACGCCGCTTGGCCGCGAAGGACTGTATTGAGATGATGGCAGATGGATGTATGCTTATTAATTTATATTAATAGAGTAGAGTGATGTTCCTTGAAAACTGGATATATTTTATATTCGTAACTCTCAATTTGGATTCAATCCACACGCGTAATCTCTTTAAATTTTTTTACTAAAATAATTAAAATCCTTACGATTTCCTTCACATTTTACATATATTCGATGACTTAAAAAGGAAGATATCGATTTATGAGATCGCGACTCTCATTGCTTCGGGGTTCATACCATTAAATTTTATGTTCGCGAAAAAACTCTTCTTATACCAGTCGTTAAAAAGTATGAAGAATATAAAGAGAACCAGATCGCGCCGATGCTTCCCCGCGATTCGTTGAATTTCTATCTGGTTCTCGCGTTTCCTTCGAAGTCGGAGCGCCCGACGAGGACCCAAAGGCTCGGGGTACAAGAAGAAGATATTCTTCCTGCGGTTCGCCGCTTGTTCCGCCGGTGGCAACGGGCGAGCGGTGACCTCCGTACCCCTATGGGAGCAAGAAAGACAGAGGGACTCGAGAAGAGAGCACACACCGAGAAAGGGGCAAGAGGGACAGGAAGAAAGAAGAGAAAGAGAGAGAGAGAGAGAGAGGGAGTCAAGGTGCGTTCCTGCGTGACGTAGCTTTCGCAGGCCATCACGCATATGTTACCCTCCGCGAGGGACACGTACGCGCTTACAATACGATCCGCGGGGTCATTCCACCGAGTCCTCTCGGACACCTCTTCAGCTTCACCGTCGCCGCCGTCGTCCCCGTTGTCATGAACTTTGTTCCACCGTTCCTCATTCGGCGTTCCTCAATCGGCCTTCTCTCTAAAGCCGTGCATTTCTTAAAACGCACTCGCATGCATATTCGATCGTCACTCATTCCTTTCGGAAGAAAATTTTCTCTTTAAATCTTACAAAATATTTTCCCTTTTTAAATTTCCCCTTTTAAATTCTTTATTTCTTTTTATCTACAACTTCATCACAAAAGGTGGGCGTAACTCGTGTAATTTTTGTTGGATGAGATCGATGATACTTCCAAGATGATAAATCAAATAGTACGATTTTTACGGAACTTAATGCGAAACATCGTGATTTTCTTAATAAATAATGTAAATAAAATTCACACAAATCAAAACCTCATTGTGTGAATGTATGTTATTTCATACATAAAAAAAATGAAAATATTCATACGTGCAAAGAAGATTGCTTAGTTTTTCTCTCGGGACGAGGAGAATGTTCGCGCGATAAATCGAATTTACATGTCCAATACGTGATGGAAACCTTCCATCGCATCGAGTCGTACGTCCTGGCACCGTTTCTCTCCGTAGTTCTCTGTCTTTTTTCTTCCCGGACACGTACGTTTAACAAGAGAGCGAAGCAGGTTGCGGGCGGATGACAAACAAAGAGCGCCGTGACCTCGTCGCCTTGTGCGTGAGGTGCGATTAGCGCGAACGACTCTCTCGCGCGTGCGAGCGAGCGAGTGAGTGAGTGAGCGAGCGAGTCGTCGCGTCGGGTCGGTCGCGAAAGATGTGGGAGGAAGGCAAAGAGAGAAGGAAGCACGCGCGGACGAAGGAAGGATAAACGAAGGAAGGAAGAAGTCGGGTACGTAAGCCGACCAAAGGTCGAGTGCTGACCACGAGTCATCTCGGTTGCGACAACTCGCGCTGCTGTTAACTTTTGCGTGTCTCGCTACGTTGTACAAAAATCAAATGTAAAAAAAGAATCTCTACGTCAGAATTCAAATTTTTCGCGAAAGAAATTGTGAAAGATGCAAAAAGAATATTGTGAGGATGCAAAAACGAAAAGATAACAATGTATTCTTTATATTATTTTTAACAGTTTATATATATCGTGGATTTATTATTCTGAGAATCGATTAACGTCGATACGCCTATACGCGATAAGATACGAACAATTAAAACGAGTGTTTTCGAAAGGCAGACGGGACAGGTCGCGCGCAGAGATGAAACACAAGACAACCACGCGCGCGATGAGCGATTAGTGTTGGATTATCTCACCTGCGAAGTCACCGAGAAGGTCAGAGCGTGACGATAGAAGAACAAGAAAAGAAGCGACGGACTGGAAGCGGGTACTTTACTCGATCAAAGGTCGAGCCTCGCGCATAACTTGCCGTAGCATCGATAAACGAGTTCCCTATCGCGCTTTCCATTTTCGCTCGTGGAGATGGCATCTCGCCATATGGCGGATGAACGACGAGGCACATACGGGGAATTAACGCGAGAAGTTATTGACAAATAGATAGGTAACAAATAACAAGGCTATTAAATTGCCATTATTCCGCGCTAAGAAGTGTTTTGATAAACGCAGAAGGAAAATATTACGGAGGAGTGGAGTCCGTAATGAGACTACGAAGGATAAACGGTTAAATGCAATCGATTTGTAGAGGCTACGGAGTCAAAGTTGGCTACGCGATGGGACGGAAAGCGCGAATCTAGCGGTGATAATCGTCCCCCTATATCGCGAGCGATTATGACCGTTAATTAACGCGCTCCCGCAGCATCATCAGTTTGATTTTTCTTCTCCCATCCGCAGTATATACATGCCGCTAATTGCCACGTGGCGCAGGTGACTGGAAGAACGGAACATCTCGACAATGAAGCTCAACAGGTTGCCGGCGGATAGCAGCGAGCTTGACTACTGCCGTACGAACGGCAATTAGCACGGGCGATTCTTTCGCGTATATAACATCACCGTGGACAAAAACTTGAGGAAACGCGCGAGGCGCATCCGCGCATGGAGAGTCTAAATCACTTCATTGTTAAGTCCCACGACAAAAACGCAGTAGTTTCGCAAAACAAGATGCTGCTGCGGAATAAATCAATGCATTTTTAAGCGCATTGTATTCATTGATATACCGTTAACATAACCCTCGTACAATCATCGTCCTTTGATATTGCAGAGAGGCTGCAGTTTTACGACACGATGCCTCGACGAGAGTCCGGAGACTTTTGCGGAGGACTGTACCCTACCGAGCAAGCAGTTAGCATTAGGCACGATGACGAAGAAGGCCAGGGACTCGGTGAGATGATAGCGAGCGCGTTCGCTGACGGCTCGCATCGGTCACACCGCAGGTGACTCGTCGCGGTCTGAGCCTGGCCTCTGCCCGACCCACGTACCTGATTCTATCCGGTGTCCTTCTCCGTCATCTCTAACTCCCGTTTTCTCTCTCGTGCAGAAACGCGAGAGATATCCGCGGACTCTACTAAACAACGAGGTCTTGAATACCTTGTATGTGGAAAAATTTTTTCTACATATCTTTGTTAAGAGAGCAGATAAATCTCTCTGTAACCGTTAATTTCAAACAGGAGGTATCGCGTATACGTAATTTCTAATTATAAAAACGAGAAAATTCTTTACGCTCTCGCGCAGAACACGTTAAAAATGTATAAACTATTGTTAATAAAAGAGAGCCAAGCTTTTTACGTATGTGAGAATGCGTTTCCTCGTCCTTTTCTTGCATCCTTGTTATAAATTCGCATCTGCGCGATCGCTGATTACAGGCTGAATATATTGCGCGTATAAATTCCTAGTTGACACGGGAAAACGCTGCGCGCTCTCCGCCATACGAACGTCGGTGAACGTCGCCGAAGGACCTGCGACCTCTGCAAAGTTAATGATACGCGCGAGTGGATGATCCTTATATAGAGAGCGGCGGCAAAGCGCTGCCCGCGTGTGTGTGCTCGTCAGCACGCATCATTTCGAGTGATGTATTACTCACCGAGTGTCATCAGAAAACGGTTATGTGACCCTGGATAACTCCCGACGGTCATACACTTGCGGCCACCTCGCCGCGGATCGCGCGTATTTCGCGTCGCCATCGAGTATACATTTCGCTTCGTCAGCGTTCGCGCGCGGCGCGCTTCGATCACAATTGATGCGGCGACCTCGCGAGCGCAAGCGCGATCGCGCGCCAGCCTCAGCCCTCCGCGAGAGCTTTTATCTACGTGCGCGAGAATAAATAAAGCCGAACGGTACAACGTGTGTCTTTCACGTCCCGGGATTTTTATCCCGTAGCATGAAGGAGAGGTTGGGATATCGCCTTAAAGGGGCTCTTAACGAAGCCATAATACGCCATAGCCATAGACAAAATACGTAACGGCAGTTGAATACCGGTTCCCTTTGTGATTTTACAATTCTCATTCGCGACTTTTAGATCTGCTGTAATTAATGTTTTATTGAACTTGCGATAGAAGGGTATGCTCTTTTCCGAAAAAAAAAAAAAGAATTCATCTGCATTGATTGTGAAATGTCACGTATATTTTGCGAAGGGACATCGCTCTTCTCGTCTAAGAAAATCTCCCGGCTCGTGGCCACATCCCGAAAAGCGTGACCGATCCGATCGATTATAATTTTGTTCGGCGATATCATAGCCTAGCTAATTAATCGCGAGCATGTCGAGAGTACGTTCGCTTCTCAAACGGGGACAAAAGAAGAGGGGAACGGGAGAAGATGTAGGTACGGTGCGCGACGCCATCGTAGAACGACGGGCCACCCACAGGCCATATCATCGGCAAACGTAAATTAGCTGACTTATCGTATCACCGAGGTCGTTAAGCTTCTCAACGGCCAGCTAAATTGCGCGAAACTCAAAGACAAGATCTCGTGATTACGTTTTAAAAGCTGTTGATAACGGCAGTGCTATTACAGAACTTCGTATATAACGCGAAGTACGAATTTCTTTTCCTGCCATTTTGGCATTCCATAGGACCGGTTGTTTCACCTTCGGATAAATTAATTTAGTAATTTATCGCAACAGAAAAAAAATCATATTTCGCGGTTACACGACTTCTATAACAAACAGCATTTCCAACAGCGTTACCACAGTTTTTAAAATCTTGTTTTTGAGGTCGGTTGTTTCATCTTCGGATAAACATTGTGTAATATAATATTATATATTTATCCATTGGATTAATTATCACATTACCACAGAGTTTATTCGAGTGGCGATCGTGGCGTGAGAGCTGCGCGTCGGTTTTCTGTACCTTGGAGACTTAGGTTCAAGGTATGAAACATTATATTATAACGATCTTTTGAGAGAAATCTCCCTTCAATAAAAATCTTGTGTCAATATTTAATGCAGAAATCAGAGAAACATGTTACATTCATATTCGTATTTTAAAGAACTAATTTCTATAGTTTTAAGGGCCGGTTGTTCCACCCTCGAATAAACTTCTTCCATATGCCATATATATAATAGAAATTATAAATTCTTTGTAATAACGAATGTAACCTGTTTCATTATTATTTCTGCATTAAATGCAAAAACACAAGATTTTTATTTAAAAAATTATTCTTTTGAAAGTTTATAACATAATGTTCCATACTGCCTTTTCGTCAATATGCTTGTCACACGTCCGAGACTCAATTTGATTAATTGAGGCCTATATGCGCCGTACAAAGCAGAAAAAGAAGGTTTGCAAACACTGAGTGCTCCTGTGACGCGTGGGCGTGTAGATAACTGCAGAAGCGACTAAATCGATTTACTGTGTCGAAATCACACGGGCGTCGGTTCGTAAAATAAATCACGCGTAGTAAAGTGGAAAGACTGGTTTCTTTCGTAAGATTTCGGATACACCCGGTACAAAAGTTACCTGGGGCCGGGTCTCGAAATTCTCCCTGACCCCGGGGAGAGAAGAGAGGTCCAAAGGTCGGCCGGGCGAGGAATGTGTCGAGAGACCAGATTATACTTCGCTAATGAACTTCTGCGCCTTCGGCACCGTGTGCGTGATCCAGGTAACGATGCCGAGGAAAATCAGAACCATCGTCTCGGCGCTTGTTTTCTATTACGAGGGTCGGACAAATAAAAGCTTAAGTGCGCGAGACTAGCCAATAAGTTCTCGAATTCCAGCGACCTCTCACTTTTACCCCCTGTCCCCCCGTCATACACGTGGAGAGAGCTCTCCATCTTTTTCACGATACGAGAAGAATTGATAGGTAAACTCGTAATTACGAGCTAAATCGAAAGAAACGGCCACCGTTAATAGATTATTTAAATGATATGGAATTAATTTTCTCTGCCTATCGGGATTTCGTGTAAGAGATAAACACAATATTTAGAAATCAATTTATAATACTAGATTATTTTCGAAATAATACAGTTTTAATCTAAACAAAAAGTCATCCATGCAAGCTGCTTAAGAAAACTTCTTGTCTTATCGCGAATTTCTCCATCGAACGATCGTATGTCCGCAGTGAAGCGGATGCTCGATAAGAAACCCGTTAATCGGCGAATTTCAACGCGATACAATCATCAATATTATTTTTAATTACTGCAATGACGCAAGTCGTCTCATTATAAATACAGCAAAGACGCTTCATCAGATACAGGTATCTAATACTAGCGTGGTCACGTTTCGATATCTAAGAGATGATACCCATCGGAATGTGCCGGCACTCCGTTCAAATACATACAACGTACTTAATGCCAATGAAACCAGCAATAAATAGATCCAATATAAAATACACACAAAAAACGTCTTTAAGTAATTACTTACAGAAATCGTTAGTCGACACAAGAGACAGAAAAGACGAAGAGCGGTTACGTAATACGGATTCTCCCTCCATGCGGGCAAGAAAAATCGTCGAGAATCTGCGGATGCGGCATTAGGCAAATGAAAGCCCGAGCAATTAAATTCTCACTGGAAGGCAGACATATGTTACCGCGTGTCTGACGCGGCGGTCACGGTGATCGCGACCTCGAGATCGTTGATATCGCGCATTACGCGACAAATCGTCGGCCTTCGTATGCACAACTCTCGGCCGTAACGAGAGATTTGCCGATTCGTCCATTGTATCGGTGCATCGAGCCGCGTTAACCGCGTTCCAAGGCCCAACGACGTGAAATTTATTGCCAGGACGCGGACGCAAGCATTAGAGGTCGCAGAGAAAGAGATGCGATTATCGCTCAAAGCGTTCATTGAGCAGATACATAAACAAAATTCGGACAAAAGATTATTAATAAGGAAGCGTTATAGTAAATAGAAGACATTAATTATTTTCACTTCTAAGTCACAATGTTCAGTCCAAAATCGTAGACGTTCAGAGAATTTCGACATGTCCTTTTTTTTAGTTTTTTCAATGAAAAAGTAAAATTTTCTAAATTTTGCTGATTTTTTTTGGAAGATTAACGAGTCTACTAAAAGTTAAAGAAATTAATATTACATCTCTTCCATACAAACGATCTTTCTGATGCGAAAAAGACTCTTCGTCGTGCAACCATATTCTATTCGCTACTTTTCTACTATCTTTGTCCTCTGTGACTTTGCGAGAAGAAGCTACCGATCGAGAGAAGAAACATTTTCGCTCGCTTATCTCGTCACGATGATCTGCCGACGAATACCGCGTGCCTTGACACGTAACAATGCATGCATGAATTAATAGTGGCCGCTGTTGCATTCGTACCTTTCCTCGCTTACATGAAGATTTACATCTTTATCGTGAACCTGGGAAGTGTCGTTGTATAGGGTGGCACTGACGTCTCCGTTTCCTCGACTTTGTTATCACAAACAATTGAAATTGAGAACTTAATTGCAGAAACAGTATTTTCTAAACGTAAGAAGTACCAGAAACTAAGATTTTATAGAATTTTGTCGTATTACTTTGTTGTACGCGAATACAAAAGTGAGGATGTTTCAACAGCTAGTTCTGTCTATTTTTAACCATTGATATTCACGAAAAAAAATTCTGTTAAATTCTGTTGAAATTCGCTATTTTGAGAGTTTATCGTGTAACTCTCTCGCAAATTTGGTGCAGCGTCGCAGATTACACGAATCGGAACACTTTTTCGCGAGTTATTAGAAGTAATTGCCGTTTTAAAAGAGTCGCTAACACAAAATGAGGGAGAATAGAAAAAATAAAAAAAAAAGAGTAACGTGGTGCCTCGTAATGAGAGTCGAGCTGGTCGAGAAGAGAAACAGCGAGAGAGAAAGAACGAGATAGAAAGAGAGAGAGAGAGTTGAATGATGAAAACACGAAAGGTTAGCACTTCAATAAATTCTGACGATCGGGATGAACGTGCCGCGGCTCTCCGATCGATCTCGTTGTCGATCCCCCTGGTCCGCGACTCGTAACGAGACTGGGTGAACGACGGAATACACTGAAACGCGATATTAATGATACGTTGGCGTGGCTCGTATTGCTCGACGTAATTGGCTCACGTCGCAGATGTGGTAATTAGCGTTGCGGCCGAACATGTCAAATGTTATGGAACAACTGTATAACAGGGAAGCGCGATTGAAAGCGGCCGCCTCGCGCAATTTATCATTGATATATCGATCCCTTTAGCCACAAATCCCTCACAATTAGGGTGATTATCGTGTGCTACCGATCGTAATATTTAATGCGCCTCGATTTTTCGAAGTTTTATTTGTTTTATTCATTCACCGCGTTCTTATCTGCAATTATATGCTCTCTATCCTTCTCTTATT